TGTTACAAGTAGAACGTGAGGGACTGGGCCCAGCCCCAGGTCACTTATTATTATGGGATCGAAAATCCCACGCGTTGGCGAGAATAAAAACGAAACGAGGATCGATGAGAAAACGTGTTGTCATTGCAGTTTTGTAGTAGTTCCTGTGCGAGATTGAGTAAAGTGTAACATATGCCTTTCTATTCGAAAGTCCCGAGTCCTTCTTACCAAACGAGAAGTGGAGAAACATGCTCCGTAGTAATGTTTAACAAGACAGAACCTTAGTGCTCGTCGCGGATGAAAACATTCTCGAAAACACGCGCGTTAACACCGGCCAAGTAGGTCATGTGATACCACTCTTCACCACCCGAGTGGAAACATTAGCGGCTGATAAGCGCGTGATTACTAAGTAGCCTTTTGTAATTATCAATTTGACGCGTTTGACAGCTGGCGTCTGCATAACAATGAGATTCAAGTCCAAGGTAACCATGGGTATCTCTTTCTCGCCGCATCGGGACTCGCTGTGCGCCGCTTCGCGAAAAGAAGACAAATCAAGAAAAACATCTGGGACCAGGGTAAGCTCGTCTATGATCTGTTTTCCTTTTAAAATGAAGCAGTATGCGAGAAACCAAAATTTATTGCGCTCTAGATCTCTTTGGCTAATTCCTAATGACTCTGTTTTGTCTATTCGTCTTTCACTATTTTCTATGAACATAGTACAGTGTTTCATTTTGTTTGTTACTGAGACAAAACCTGATCGTTAATTGCATAAAACCGCCATGAAATCATGTTTCACCGAACAGGTATAACTTTCTGACTGATTTATCTCAAGTTCTAGTTTTTATCAATTGCCTATGAATACAAACCAAGGGTCAATTATAATCATGTAAGCTTATGTAGTTTTGCAAGAATTTTCGCCCATATCGAAGAATTAGAGTACTCTCTCACGTTTCAATGATTTAATCAATCAAAATGTTGTTGCAAGAATTAAATAATGCCATCAGCTGGGTCACTTGGTGGTAAAAGAAAAGTCTGTGTAATACCTTCTTCTCTAGCCAAACATGGTGGTTACACTTTGAAAACTCTATCCAGACTAGCACTTCTCGTTTTAAAAATACAGAGAAAAAAATCTGCATTCACAGATGTCAGAAAAAGAAAACTTGCAGCAATAAACTTGGAAGAGTTATTGGATTTCATGTAGACTAAAGATGGAGGCACCGTCTAAGGTGAGAGGCAGATGATGTGAACTGAACAATGGTTTGTTATTTCTTGTCTCTTTGGCAATTAGAAGTTCCTCAAAGGTTTTCAAAGAAAGCCGCTATTAAAAAGGATGTATAGTTGTCAAGAAAGAGTAGAAGAGTTTTGTTGATTTTGGATGGCGGAACACAACCAATGTAATATCAAAAGAATGCTTAATACAAGAGTTAACAACTGGTGTTGCCATTATGCCAGTGTTTGTAAGTGATAACCGAAAACTTCTTGAGTCAACAAACACGTTTGATCGTCACCCCAAAATTACCAAACGGCAATGCTTTTGAAGAACTGAAACACTACACTTAAACTCTATACAGATTAGCACTCTGCGTTTTAAAATAAAGACACACAAACCTGCATTCATAAATGTCAAGGAAATGTAAGACAGCAGCAATACACTGGGAGATTCACAGCAAGAAAGGAAGTGCAGTACTAGCTTGGTGACCAAAAATGAAAGCAACGCCAGAGACGAGGGGCTTATATGGGCGGATGACGTCAACTAAAGAATGTTTTGTTATTTTGCTGTCTCCTTGGCAATCAGGAGATTCTCGAATGTTCTCAAAGAAAGCCACTATTAAAGAAGAACAATTTGTCAAGAATTAAATTGACATGTAATGAATATTCTTTTATCATGGGTGCACTTATTGTTTTAAAACTGATACAGAAAGTAAACCTGCATTTACAGATGTCAAAGAAAGAAAGATAGCAGCAATGAACTTGGAAGGGTAATATGAATGCGTGTGAACTAAGATGTAGGGACCACCTGAGGCGAGGGGTGGATGACGTCAATTGAACAATGGTTTGTTTTTTGTTGTCTCCTTGGCAAGAAGAAGTTTCTCGAAGGTTTTCAAAGAAAGCTGCTATTTTACAGGAACTAGTTGTGAAGAAATTAATTGAAAATTAATCACTACTACTTTTTGGGAGCGTGGCTTTCGCTTAGTAAACATTACGTTAAAGAAAACGAAGCTTTTTTTAAATACAGTTCTGAGGACAAAAACCATGACATGATGCAATACATTAAGAACAAGTGACTTAACATCATTGACTTCATCAGATAGTGTCTCTTGAGTTGAACTGCTGGGATTTTGCAACTTATGCAGAAACACTTCAAATTAGACATGCTACACCAATTTTGTACCCATTATATATTGGTCTCGTTTAGTATCTGGTTTTCTTTTAACATGAAGCAGTATGTGATGAAACAACATTTATTGGTACTGGAGTTCACTTCGGCTGATTCTTAAGAACTTGGTTGTGTTGGTTTAATTTCCACTTGTGTCTTTAAACAGAGCACTTTAGTTTATACGTTACCGAGACGGAACCTTAAAAGCCCAATTTTTATTTGCATAAAACTGCAATTGAATGTTCACCTAACGTTTGCTTTTCAACGTAATTTTTAATTGCATTTCTTGGAGTATTATGAAATAACTATAAATAAAAACTAAGAGTCAATCATAATCATGTTAAACTTTCGACATTCATAGTTTTGCAGTAGTTTCCACCTGTACTTAAGAAATGGATTACTCCTGCAAGTTCCTATCATGTGACTTGAAGCAAATCATGGAAAATTGTTAATATAAAATCATGCCATCAAGGTTACTTTATGGTAAAAGGAAAAGAATTTTGAGAAATAGCTTCTTCTCTGCTCAACGGTGTTGGTTACCCTGATTTCGATGCCAATTAACAAACTTGAAAGTCAATGATTGGTGGCAAGGGAAAACTTATCACTAACACCTGACAATGACTTTCTCAGTGTACACTGAACTGGTCTCTCTTCATGTACAGTTGCTCGATCTTGATCAGCGACTATAAAAGCTGCTAGATTACATATCAAAAGCTATCGGTTACTGTTCATTTCTCTTCACTCCAAAGAATATACCAGTCTCAGAACAAATCTAAAAGCCTGAGATGGTTTGGAACTCAACTTTTATAAGAATTCGAAAGTGATCGATCACGGGCTTAATGAAAGCAATTTCATTTTCTCCATGGAAAAGTTTTGTTACGTTTATAGCAATGGGCAACTAGTGTTGCCATTATGACCATTATGTTAATGTTTGCGAAAAAAAAAAAACTTTTGGAGGCGGGTACAAACATGTTTCAAATATTTCCAAATGGCATTGGCTTTGAAGCACAGAAACGCAAACTTAAACTCTATCCACATTAGCACTTTACATTTTAAAATACTGAAAAAATCAAACCTGCATTCACAAACAGTGTCATAGAAACAGAGACAGCAGGACTCCAGCAGCAGTACAGTGAGAAATTCATAGTGAGACTGAGAGGAATTGCAGTGCGTGGACACTAAAGATGCAGGCGAAAACATGGTCGGTAGTTTGCTCTCTCCTTGGCAATTAGAAGTCTCAAAGAAAGCCACAGTTAAACAGGAACCAGTTGTCAAGAATTAAATTGACATTTAGTCACCATTTCTTTTCCTGGGGCATGGCTCTCACTAACAAAACATTACGGAGAACAAGGAAAGGCTATTTAAAACACAGCCCTGAGGACTATAGAGAGTCTATAGACCATGATAATAATGCATAACATAAAGAAGGAGTTAGTGTATTTATGCCATCTGGCGAACCTTTCTCGATATGCAGGTGATGTTATTTATCGATAATTGGTTCGAATTCTAAGATTTGGGAGAGGAGTACATGGTAAGAACAGTACAGATATAGTTACAAACTCCTTCATAAATAGAAAGTTAGACCTACCAGCTTTCACCAAGAGAAGAGAGAAGAAAAAGTGTACCCTTTATTCTTTTTTGGAAACAGCTAAAATAGACAAATCAGTATTGTGTGTGAATTTTCACAGTCTCGTCGAGACCCAGGAGCCGCTAGTGGGAGCGAGAGAGAATATTATCTAAGAAATATGATTCTTTTTAAAGTTGCTATCTTGTTGAAAACTTCCCCTAATGAACTAATTGTAGTTTCCCAATCAACTCTTGGCTGAAACAGTTCACAGGTGCAATTTCACCCCTTCCCTCACTCCTCCCTCCAAAGTAAATTCTTGTCCGGAGCCACAGGTTTTCTTTCAAGGGGCAACTGGGGGCATGCTCCTTAAGAAAATTGCACAGAAATTACTATGATCCGTTTCGAGTGGAAATATACAGGTTTTGTCAAGTTTCTAGTCTCCTCCGCAGCCGTTTTTTTGAGATGTCCCGCAACGCTCCCCCCAATGGCTGTGGAGGAGACTATCAAGTTTCCAGCCCAAAATGAACTTCAGAGGAACCAGTCCAGAACTCACTCCCTACCCCTCCTCTGATTGACGCACAGAGACTGTAACTACTGTTTTGAACTGCAAAGCTTGAAACTAATTTGCTCACTGGCATTTTGGTAGAAAACAGATGTCGTCAACAGGAACCATTTTATCTGAGTGCACAGAAGTGTATAATATTCTCAATCAGGTAAGAAATTTGACAGTTTTCTCTGAGTTTTAAAGCTCAGGCCCCATTGGTTTGAAAGGTTGCTAACGCTATCCACTGAATAAATCACTATCCAGTGGATAAGTGTTGACAAAACAAACCACGCTATCCTTTCGAACAACTGGGGCCTGAATGTTATTACTGTCATTGCCTCATGAGTCTCATTACTGTAGTATGATATAGATGGCCACCTCCATCATCTGCCAACTTCTTTATTTCGTGATAGGCAACTTGTTGGTAATAATGATCAAGGCTAAAGGTTGTTCAAACTGTACTTACAACGCTGCTGGTAAAGCTAATCTAAGGGCCATTCAATTTTAAGGTTGAGTCTTAAATCTACTCCAATTCATCTCTCCTAGCTCTTCCAGTGGACGCCAGTCTTTTCTCTTTTAGTCAGACAAGTGTTTATCCTTAATGTGACGGGAAAAGGGTTGTATGAATGAAAAGGGGCTGGAAACATGAGAAAAAACTGGTTTTATTTTGCAAAACTTGGCCTTGCATGTGGACCCGGCAAATGTTTGAACCTGGTGCAGAAAACCACTTGCAAATAATGGACAGGTTGAAATAAATAAAGGTCAGTTGAAAATGTTGTTTTTATCATCTTCCTAGGTTGGGCAGTACCCAAGGCTGAGTGATCCCAATTATTTGCTTCTTTTGGGTATGTTAAACAACAACAACAACCATTTTATTTTGCTTAATACATAGAATATCATACAGCGAGAGTTAATTGATTGCACTTTATTAATTACTTTTTTGATCCACTTCATGTTTCAATTATTAGTTTTAAATTTTCTTTTTTTTTAGAGCGCCGGCAATATGTGCTATTTTTCCAGTTTCGGCGGGCATGAAACTTGTGTCGAGCGGACCAAACTTCAATCAATCCTAGAAACCTTCATTTGGAATTCATAATGAANTTTTTAGAGCGCCGGCAATATGTGCTATTTTTCCAGTTTCGGCGGGCATGAAACTTGTGTCGAGCGGACCAAACTTCAATCAATCCTAGAAACCTTCATTTGGAATTCATAATGAAATAAAACTCATTTTAGTGATTGACTAGGTAAGGGCTTTGAAATCCCAGCTTATGAGAAAAATCGAATTTTAGAAGTAAAATCAGTGGTCGGTTCTTACAGAGACAGCCTCTTAAGCATTCAGACTGTTTGACTCGACGGTATTTTTGACTGCTGAAAGATTTTAACAGTCTGAATTTGAGCTATTTTGCTTTGAAAACGTCAAAACAACACAAGAAAACAAAGAGGAGGAAAATTACCGTGAGTGGTTTTTATTTTTATAGCCAAATTCAGACTTAAAAAGGAGTTTGCACAGCTGGCCATATGTGGTAGGTTTTTCTAGTCGCTGAAGAGTAAAGTTTGTCGCCTGGTGCCGCTAGATCACAGCCTTAAAGAGGCATAAATTCATGTTCATTGGAAAAGAATAAGAAAAAGGAAACTTTCCATTTACATGTCGTTCTGTTGCCATGCTTCCCTTACTTAGTTGGCACTCTATCAATACCTCGGTTGACACTTACGCAACAGTCGGTTGATAGTTGGCTGATTGTCGGCTGACTCATATGTATTGATCAATACTCAATGGCTTTCCAGCAAACATTAGTCAATCCTTAACTGACTGTCGACCGAGATGTTGATCAAGTGTTGATGGAGTGTCAGTAGAGGTGTTGATCGAGTATCAATGGAGTGTTGATCTAGGGTACTGATCAAGTGTATGGATCAAAACTCATCTGAGGATGCCTTAATAGTACACATGATCCAGATTTTGTATGAGGAATGATAATTAAGCCTGGAGTATGTTTTCTGAAGTGGCAATCCAGCCCCTGTCTTCCATCTAAAATATCATAAATTAACAGTTGGTAATAAATATTATCATAATGCAATTACATCAATTTATTAACAGGAGCTAGATGTCATCGACACTTATCCAGTGGAGATTATACCTGGTTTCTTGTGTGTGGCAACATTCCTCCAGTCTCAGGCAGTGAGAGTAATCAAGGATCTCAAAGTCAAGGCAAATGTGATTGTTGGAAAACAAAATGACACAATGTAAGTGCCTTGTATGAGGGTCGTACAGGGGGTCTCTGGCATAGTTCATGAGTGGAAAAAATAGTGAATCATGGATCATGGATATCAAAATTTCATTTTCCCAAAGATTCATGAAAAAAAAGTAAGTAATTAAAAGTTCTCTTTTTAATAACCTGCATGCTGATATGCCAGAAAGAGTGTTTGAGGATTTTCAAATTGGAATAAAGTAGCAGGAGGAAATCGGAAAGTAGGTGTAGCACAACTAGGTCACAGTAATGGGCAGCCATGTGGGGAAATTATATCCCCAAGTGTGTTACCCACTCCTGCATTAGGGAGATATGGTGCTGGGCCTGGAAAATTTTGAAAATCTGTGTGCGTTGAGGTGCATTCTGGTGCATCTGTAGCACACAAAAGTGATTTTGTTGGAGCTGTTTGCAAGATGAGTCTCTTTAGAAGTTCAGTTATAGAGGGCTTCATGCTAATTTTCATGCCTTTGGTATCTGTTACATTGCATTATGTTTGGCTTGCAATTCTATTTAATGGAACCATAACAAAATAAATCAACTGTAATTTTTTTTTATAATTTTATTTAAATTATGCAAGTTCAAAAAAAGTTTTAATATCAAGATCATTTTAGCTTTCGTAACACGAAAGATCTGCAGTAAAATCAGGACCACTATGGTGAATGGACTGAGGTGATTTCGGATTTTATCATTCCTGTCACATGAAGTATCACTATAAAGTCAGTGCTCTCATTTCATTTCTGCTTCAAATTTTTGGAACTTTCATTTCTCTTAAATTCTGCACACTGGCATTGTTGAAGAGCTTTTTTGTTTAAACACCTTTCAAACCGTCACTTAAAACACATTTGGAGCACTTTTTATCGTAATGAGTTAACCTTTCAAGACAAAAACTGCCTTCGTAATCAACATGCGGACGTGAAGAGGGCCAGGCCAATTGTGGTCAATTCAGCTGAATTGTGTTAATTTAAAGCTGACTGTTTTATCGTCGCTTTGAAAATTGGAAGATCATATGATGTTTGTTTACCTACAGGTTTGTTTCCTGTTTGCCTTTGTGACTTTTCAACAATGGCAATAAAAGACAGCATAGTCTGTTGCCTTCACTTCATCGTAGAAAATGTGCACATATTGGTGAAATAAAACTGCATGTTTATAAACTTCCTGACAATAAGTACCCGGTACAAGTGCATGAATTAGCCGGTGATCTGACCTGCATCGGGCACCAGCTAATTTTGAAAACCCTGCTAAGTATTAATAAGGCTCCATATGTAAATCACATACCTAAATCACTTTTGAGTCCTTTTGATAGAGGACTCTAACCATTTGGGGAACTCAAAATCACCAAGAATAGAGTGGTGAAATCACGAATGTCGCTTAGTAATTCAATTTCTTCACAGGTCACCCAAAATCTTCAGGTCACAGATCACGAAGAATAATTTCTTAAATTCATGTTTCATGGAAATCACACATCATGAGAATGCCCCTGTATGATCCTCTTGCATACAGGTAGTACTCTTTTGGAACCAACCCAGTTAAGGTGTGTTTCAGTAATAATTTGCTAAATGATTTGATTTAGTACCTAATTTTAATCGTTCCTTAAGCTAGCTTAAAATGATAATTTTGCTACATTTTGAAACCTTGTTTTGTAACATTGGTTTAATGTTTGGGTGCAGATTTGCTGCAGATGGTATGACACTGGGTAAAGATGAGAAGAGAGTCAAGCAAATTGTGACAATACCAATTGACGACAATGGTGAAGAAGATCTCTACTCACACCTGTCTGACATTATTCATTTCATTGGTAAGAAAAGAGAACGTGGAAGAAAGGCTATCATCCACACATTCCCAACAGATTCTGTTTTGAGCAGGAAATAATGTTAGCTTTTTCAGCTCCTCCACTGATGACCTCCACCAAGTTGTTCCTTTTACCCTGTGGGTTCCATTCCAGCACCTGTAGAGGCTGTCAGATGCTGACTTCTTTAATGTGTAGCCGATCCAATTGCACTTGCATCTCATAATTTCTACAGCTGGAATGAGTTCGTGTACTGTCTGGTGTATGTTATGCTTGGAACATAAATTGTTTCCTTCAAGCTTTACGCATATGCCATCTTTTCTTTCCGAGCAACATAAATGTGATTGTATTATTAGGAATTGATTCCTCCAGTAATAAAATTCTCCCGTCTCCTATTCTTGAGTGCACTTTGTGGGTAGAAGCGTCATGTGACGACCCACATATCTACAATGTGACAAAGAAGACAAGCTTGCTATCCCAATCAAGATTAATAATTTATTATTCTTTGCTTGCATTTGCCTTTCAGATGATCATCAAACTGTAAAGATGGCCGAACAGTTCTGTTGAGTTCAACATTGGGTATTAGCCGCAGTGTGGCTGTAGTGGTAGCTTATTACATGTGGAACAAAAAAGTCTCTAGGAAGGTGACGTTGCATCTTCAGACAATAATTATAGGCCCTTTAATTTAATTTGCAAACTCCTTTGCATAACCTTACTTGTTAATCATGAAAACTGTTTGTAGAGCAAAACAAGGCCCATTTATGACCAAAATCTGCGATTTTCCCTGCCCTATTTATAACCTGACCAAACATTTGATAGCCTATTTATGACCTGACCCTTAATACCCCGTTTTAGACCTGCCTAATTGGAAGTTCCCTATTTCAGACCAATGGTCTTACTCTTATTGATAATGATGAAAATGTAGCTTCTTCTAAAAAACATACCGGATTTAAGACTAGAGTGCGAAAATCATATCCTATTTATGACCAAAACGGATTAAAACCATATCCTTTGGGGCCGCAAATACCTATACAGGCCATATAAGGGAGTACCCCCCCCCCGGAATAACTACACTTACGAAGGTTCGTTTTTCTTTCAGGGTGCGTACAAGCACGTGAAGAAATGCAGAGAAAACATGCAACCAACAAGAGGCTTCATTGAGCAGTTGTCTCGCTGGGAAGAAAAGATGTTTGGTTCTATTGTCACTGACATCAGTGATCCGGAATATTAGCAAGCAATGGAAAAAAAAAATTAACTTACTTACAAAACGTTTAACTTTTCGGCCAAAATTAGGGTCTCTTTTTTAATAATGGTTGACACTTCATAATGTTTTAGTGCCGTGTAAATATAATTTATCGGTCTTATGCATTCAGTGATGAATTATTCTTTGAAGTGAAATCTTCTTGTTCAATCTGTTCAGGTTTGCGTTCGTTCTGAGTGTACATTGCGCGGTCTGAATTTTTTTTGTTGAAAGACAAAACGTGTGTTCTTTACGTTTAAATAGGAAGATGTTCTCATCCACTTTGTAAAAAATATA